TCCAGCCCGCTCCTGCCGGGTCCCTGACGCCTGACCTCTGGCCAGCCCCCGCCCGGAGTCCGGGCCATCTCCCCAGCTGCCCGGAAGGGGACCAAAAGGACGGCCATGGAGCGCTTTCCCACCGGGAGGCCAGCCCCGGGATCTGTTAGGAGCCACGGGGAGATAGATTCAGGACCCCTCCTTAGCCCCTAGCGGCTGCGGGGCTGAAGGTGTGTTGTATGGGAGGGAGGGGGGTAAGGTGGATCTCAGGTGACCCACGAAGGTGCGCTGCCCACTGGGCGGCTTCCCCAGCCCCTTCGACCCACTACTGATAGTAATAATAACGGCATTTATTTATCATAATGATGGAAGCCCACCCCTGCTTTAATCCGCCCCACGCTCGCGGCAGGTAGTGCGGCGTACAGGCGAAGAAAGGAGGCTCAGAGAAGGTAGATTGGACCTGAGGGTGTCCAGGAGTGTCGCAGATGGGGTCCAGCTGTTCTCCACCTTCTCGCCAGTCCAGCCACCTGCACGCAACTGGGGCCCCAGGCCTCCCACCCCTGGGCCTCTCTTACCCCCACCCCCACCCCAGGGCCATCGTCTCTGACCCCACCAATTTAGACAGACTTCTCCACTGACTGAGAGGTCATCTCAAACACACAGCTGTATTTCCCTGGCCTTTGAGGGCCTGACTGCCCCTGGTCTGCCCACCTCCCAAATGACCAGCCTTCCACTCCGAAGACACGGCCTCCCTCCCACCCGGACTTGGGTTAGCCCAGGCTGCTGCCCCGTCTCAGAAGCCACCGCTTCCAGGAAGCCTTTCTGCAAAGATTGAAATTCATCCTTGTGAGACAGTGTCCTCTGGGCACAGGAGACCTGTGTCAAGAGTACCAGCCCTCAAGGTACAAGCTGCCCCTCAGTCAAAATAAAAAAATCAAATTCACTGCCTTCCAGTTCATACCCACTCTTAGTGGCCTTGTAGGACAGGATAGAACTGCCCCCTGTGAGCTCCGAGACTAATTCTTCTTTCTTCCCGAGGGGCGGCTAGTAGTTTCAAACTGCTCAACTTGCGGATTACAGCCCAACTCGTAACCACTGCGCCATCAGCTTTGGGGAGCGTGTAGCCCCATGCCTTTCTGTGGCCCGGATGCCCTCTGCAGCTGGTGTGGATCGCTCGGGCAGGAAGGGAGCTGGCAAAGGTGGATCTGGGTCTTGGGATTCGCCAGGAGGGGCGGTCTCCGGGCCCACCTGAGCGCTGGAAGTCACAGGTGCTCGGCACACAGTGGGGTGGCGGGTGGGGAGGTCACGCGGTAGCTGTAAGACTGCCTCCGCCGTCACGGACCAGTGTGTGAGGAGACACCACTGAAGCGTGAAGAGGTCCGACAGGTGTGTGAGCCTGTCAAGGGCAGGTGTGTGAACGTGGGGAGGTCAGGAACAGGAAGCGCGCTGCCCGCGAGGCGTTCGGGGGATGGGGGGGGGGTGTGGAGGGGAGGGGCAGTAGAGGGCAGTGGGGACTGGGTCATGGGCAGGTGAGGTGGGCCCAGGTGGGTGAGGGAGAAGTGGGCGGGTGCCTGAAGCCGCCCCAGGTGTGTTAGGCTGTCAGGTAGGTGTGCCAGGAGGAAGTGGGCGGGCGACGGGGCGTCCTGCGCTGCCTTCGCCCTCCCCGCCGCGGCCTCATCCTGAGTCCTGGGGAGGGGGCCTCGAAGCGCTCCGGCGGGCGCCGGGATCCTCCCGCCGCCAGAACCGCAGACGCCGTCCGGCCCCGCGGGACTTGGCTGCGAGGACGGAAGGACGGAGACGGACTGGGGAGTCGCCAGGGTCCGCCTGCCCCGCCCTGGGCCGCCCTGAGCGAGGACGCACTGCCCCCTGGCGACCACGTGGGGTGTAGCGGCTCCCCAGGGTGCCAGGCCCTGCATGCCCTGATAGTTCTCCCTCCCGCCCCCGTTCCCCCCTCCCCCCACCAGGCCAAGGCAGCCTAAGAACCTGAGACCCTTTTCCTTTTCCTGATCCCTTTGCCGGGCAGGGGAGGGCCCCCCTCAGGTGGGCCCCCCTCGGGTGCCCCAGGCGCTCACTGCAAGCCACCGAATACATGGAACCAGAGCACCTGACTCCAGCCCTGACCCTTTGCAAACTGAAATGTAGGCCCATTGTAGGGCAAATTAGCCCACCTCGCTGGTCTCAGTCCCCACCCCACCCCCATCTCAGTGGGGATAGCACCAGGCCAGTGAGGCCCCACCTTGAGCGGTGTTAACAGGTGGAGGACGGGACAAGGGAAGTAGAGATGCTGATGGCCAAACGTACAGACTTCTACTTCTGCTCAAGCTGGGTATACGGACCAGGTTGGCACTCACTCATCCAAAGACACAGGGCGGTGGGCAACAAGGGACAGTGGTCTTGGGAGATGCAGCCTTGCAACAGATACCTGCTCCCTGCCTGGAGATGGTTTCCAGGCCAAGGTGCAGTGGAGGGAGGGACCCGGGCCTGGCAGGACAGTCTCCTGGAGTGGGCAAGAGGGAGATGAGAGAGATGGGTCAAACCAAGTACTAGAGAGCTGGGAGAGTGCCAGGAATCTCTGGGTCTCCTAAGGCTTCATCTGCATACCCAGCAGTGGGAAGAAGCTGCCCAGGGCTGGGGACAGACCACCCAGCAGGATTCCAGCCCACACAGCACTGTGTGTCTGTGTTAGTCTGGGTGGACTAAAGAAACAAATTCATAGACACTCATATGTGCATAGAAAACAGCTTTATATGAAGAGTTATTGCACATCAAGAAAACATCCCAGCCCAGTCCAGATCAAGTCCATAAGTCCAATATGATCCCATATGCCCGATACTAGTCTATAAATTCCTCTTCAGACTCACACAACAATGACGCCGGGTGCAGGAAGATCGTGTAGGAAGATCACAGGGTGGAAAGTCTTGTGGATCCAGTGGTGGTGGAAGCATCTCAGTGCTGACAGGGGTCTCCATGTGCCTCCTCCAGTTCCAGGGCTCTGGCTGCCGCCAGCATAGCTCCATGTAGCTTGTCAACAGGAATGTCTCGCAGGGAGTCACGCAGAGAGAGTGTGCACGACTGGCCTCCAGTGAGGTATTCATAGCTCTTGTGCCTCCAAATGAGTTCGTCAAGCTGCAACCTGTTTGACAGGCTAACCTCCGCCCCTTCACAAGTTGACAGAAAGATTACGTAACTGACACAGGATCCAACAGTCAGAGTGAGGGGCATTGGTTCAAGTGGAAAGACGCATCCAGTGGCTGCGGTTGGGGGCAGTTCAACCCCAGAACGAATGTCGTTTCAGCTCTCTGCCTGTTGCTGCTGTTGGTACCATCGGATTGGTTCTGTCCAGTAGCGACCCTATGCACAACAGAATGAAACACTGCCCAGCAAAGCTTACAAACAAGACCGGCGAGGATCACGCCGTGTCTGAATAATATGACCCTGTCCACAGCAGAAACAGATGCAAGAAGACGTCCATCCGCTGCGGGCAACTCCGTCCACACTCAACGCCACACCTGACGATGGAGTAGAACTGCTCCGTGGAGTTCCCCGCTCTGCACACCTTGATGCGAGCAGACAGCTTCACCTTTCCCCTCTGAGCCCACTGGTGGGTCTGAACCACCGACCTTGCAGTTAGCCGCCCAGCACATAGCCTATCGCCCCCAAAATACCTTGCACCCAGCCAGGAAA